CCAACAAATTCTGGGAAGCCAAAAAGTTATGGGGCAGTTGGAAGGTCAAACCTGGAGAAAGCAAGAAAAAATTATGACAAATGGCAGATCATTTGCGCAGGTGGTGTCAGGGGAAACAAACAAAAATTCACTGGTTTCGAAAGGGAGAGGGCTGAACAAGCAACCTCAGACAGGGAAGGTTGCTGGTTCGACCATTAAATCACGGGGGCATGGCCTTTTAAGTGGTCACGTGGGACAAAATGAAGGGCCCAATCGAGTGGATCCACTTGATGAAGGGCCGGAGAAGGCATCTCAAATAAAGGCTGTAAAGGTGGGCTCCCATAGGCTTCAGCCCAAGGCCCATTACAAGATAGATGGGCCGAGGGGTACCTTAAGTAAGCACATGACTGGGAGGAGGGACGAGCTGATAGACGAAATTTATATTATCTTTTTTGAAAAATTAAAAAAAAAATCATTGAATTTTTGAGCTAAGCCGGGAAACTTTGTTTATATGTTATCAGCAGAATTTGGAGAGTTGGGGATAAAGGACAACACCTGCCAGAGTAGATTTGGGGAAAGAGGTTCAATCTGCTGTGAGAAGTTGTGCTTGGTTCTTTCAGTTAATGTTTTTTTCTTTGTTTTTTTTTATTTTTCCTTTATTTGTGTGTGTATGTTTGTGATTTAGTCATCATTTTGACTGTAACAAAGGATTTTGAAGATTGCATTCAATGATGGTGGTGTTCTGTTCACACTCCTGTGTCTTTCTGTAACCTTTTTCATTTTTAACAAAATTTCTTTTTATTCTAATGTCAGAAAAGGTACCTAGTGATGGTTGTGGAATTTATATCCCCACTTGTGTCCTAGAAGATAGAATCTTAACCCTGCTTGATATATGCCATAAGCTTTGTGGATGGCAATTTTAGAATGGAGAGTTGGAAACCTGTATTATTTATTCTGTTTTGTTGTTGGAGGAGATTACATTTTTTCTGGGATCTGATTTGTGTATTTGGTACAGGAATTAACAGGGAAGATCTTGCAATTTTGGGAAGTTGTGATGTGTATTCCTTAAGCAAAAAGAAGACAGCTACTCGGTTTTATTTAATGCAGTGTACTAAGTTGGTTAATGAGGATGTCATTAAAGTTCCTATAAAAGATGCTATTGACAGGTTTGGCCCTAGTCTTGATAGATTAGTCTATAACTTGTAGATGGATGGAGACATAATTTGTTGTTTGGTGTACCTCTATGTTGTTGGGCTTGTTATCCCAACAATGGTGCTAGACTATCTTGACCTATGCTTAATATGGTAGGTTAATGTATTATATACACAAATTCAAAGATGGTGCTGTATAAAGGAAAGATGCTTTACTAGATAGGATATGATGGAGTCAGTAGCATTAATGTTCATGTTCATCCAGTACCATCAATCTGCCCATTCAGTTCTCAGGTCACTGGAGTGGTGTGGCATAGCTTTATAGGCAAAAGATATATTGATTGTGTGATCTTTGAAAACTATTACTGATTTGGTCAGTCAACGGTGTGTGAAGGTTTTTTATTTTTTTGAATATAAGGTTTGAGAACAGTTGACAACAGTAGAAGAGGAAGAACAATGGTTTCCGGGGCAAATAAGAGAGTCACTTTGTCTAACCAACTCCCAAAGTCAGATTATATTATATAGGGCCACATATTTAAAATTACAAGTGACCCTTCAAGGGGTAAAGAATAAAGAAATAGAATACAAAAGTGCTGTACAGAAACAAAGAAAGAAGGTGAAGAAAATAAAATAGTACATTATGCCTTCACGTTTTCTCCTCTCTACACTCCCCCTCAAACTGAAGCTGTGAAACCAACATCAGTTTGCCTACTAGATGATCATAGTGTCTGCTTCATAGATTTAATTAAGAGATTTGCTAATTGATGTTGAGAAGCTATGTGAGGGAGTGTAAGTGTAATATGATTGGACAAGTACTGCCTTGAATAAAGTGACAGTCAACCTTGATGTGCTTGGTCTGCTTATGAAAAATTGGATTAGATGCTATCCTTATAACACTAGTGTTGTCAGCATGCAATAGTGTTGGAGTAACCAAGTCATTAGAGAAGTCCTAGAAGAAACCTCTTAGCAAGATAAGTTCACTGCATGTAGAGGACATAGCTTTATACTCAACTTAGTCGATGCCTTGGAATCTGTAGGTAGTTTGTTGCATGTCCAGGAAATGAGAGAATCACCAAAGATGCACAACCGCTTGTGGTTGATTTACAGTTTCTGAGAATCCTGCCCCATTATCATCTGCATAAGCAATAGCATGTAGCTCAATAGGGAAGGAAGATGAGAAGAATATTCCTTTAGACATGGTGTTTCTGAGATGCCATGTCTAGTCATAATAAGGTAAATAAAACTTCCACTTTTTTTTGGGTTAAGAATAAAACTCCCAACTAGTTGCAGGTAAAGCACGAGGTCTAGGATAAGCTCACTATCACCCTTACTATACTTCATATTTAACTCCTTAGGAGTTCATATTTGATCTCTGAATACTCCCCCTCAAGCTGTGCATACAAGTTAATTATGCCTAGCTTGCCTTTCATAGGTCTAGCCCCATCCGCTTGACACCTTTAATGAATGTATTTTCTGTCTGTCATATCTACTCAAATAGGGAAAGGCATACAAACCTTGATGTCACCCACTCTCTAATATTGTTTGTTAAGCTCAGTGTGTTTAGTTTTATCATGTTTAGCAGGGTTATGTGCAATGTTGATGGATGCTTAATTGTCAAAATATGAACGCACCAGTTCATCATAAGCAATTTCAATCTGATCCAGCATATATCTAACCTATAGCATCTTTGAAACACCATGTGCCAGCTTTGTACTCAGCTTCTGCACTGGAGAGTGCAACAAAAAACTGCTTCTCTTTTCTCCTAGAAATGAGATTGTCATACGAGAGTACAATGGCTTGAAGTTTACCTCTTGTCATCAAGGTATCCTGCACAGCCTGCATTAGTAAATCCCTTTATCTTTGTGTGTCCATGATTAGAGAAGAGGATTCCTCTACTTGGTTGTCCCTTCAAGTAGGCAAGGACTCTCTTTCAAGCACCAAGGTGAGCATCCTTAGGTGAGTGCTTATATTAAATTATGACACTCACTTCGTAAGGAATATTTGGATGTGTCATGCATAATTACATCAATCTACCAACAAGATGTTGAAACCTTGCCTTGCCTTCAAGAAGCTGCCTATCAGTGGCTAACATGGCTAACATGTTAGTGTCTATAGGAGTATTTACAGGCCTAACTATTAGCTTTTCTGTCCTCTTTAGTAGGTCTCTATTTTGTTTTTCCTTTGACAAATAATGGTATCATGCTTAGACCTTGCCACCTCTATGCCTAGGAAGTATCTTAACTCCCTTACGACTTTAACTTAGAACTCCTTGCTATGAAATTGCTTCACTTGCTTGATCCCAACATCATTTTACTACAATGTTATCAACATTATACAATAAGGGTAGTAAGCAATAATCCATTTATTCTAATAAATAGAGTGTGTTCTGGCTTGGCTTGTAAGAATCCATCCCTGACCATTGCGCTGCAGAATCTGTTAAACTAACCTTTAGGAGATTGCCTAAGTCCATACAATGATTTTCTAAGTCTAATATTTAATAAATATTTTATTATTTTGTTATTATTTTATATAAAATTCATGATTTTTTATTAATATTTTATTATTGATAACGTTAATCGTCATTAACATAAATATCCATTCTCATAATCAACTACAAGGGCAAAATGGTAAAGTTACTATTTTCAAAGTTCAACATTCAGATTTTAGAACAATATTCTATACATTCAGATTTTAGATAAAACAAACAAGCACCAATTTTCAAAGTACTTTCTTTTAGAGCTTTTTTGCTTTTCAGATATCAAACTTCAGACAAACAGAACAAGACCTCGCTATATTTCTTAAGTTTGTTACTTTTCTCATTTATCTTCCAGTCTTCCTAGTGTATTTATTTTCTTTTTGCTGATTTGTTTTATATAGATCAAATCAACTTTTCTGTTTTCTTTCTTCTAAATTGTTGGGTATCCCGAAATCGAATATCAATTATATGGATGATTCATTGAAACAATTTTTATGATGGAGATTTTTGATAATCTAAAACATCATCATCATGATCCATGACCATGAAATTTTGGTAAAAGTTTTGGTCTCAGCTGCTAACCTGATGCAAAGTTGCAAACCCTCTATTTGGGTTTGGATTGGCAGTGTAAATAAAGCTCACATTGATGGAGTTTTAAACATTATGATTGGTAGTTTGAATATTTTGAGAACTTTGGATTTTGAAACCTGGAATGTAAAAGGTCTATGCTTGTTAGTTGATTAGTTTTTATTTTGTTGAATGCTTGAAACCTAGAACTTATTACTTGTAAACTTATATTTTTTGGATACTTGTACCTTCTATCACTCTAACTTTTATATCCTATGTTTTTTTATCATTTATAAACTTTAATCAACTCTTTTCTTAATTTTTGAGGCTTACACCTTGCTATGCATTGAGGCTTATGCCTCACCTTTTTGGGGCATTGTGCCTCAACTATGTTTCAGCCTTTTTAAAACCTTGGTGGTTCAGAAAATGTTAAGTGAATGGTCAGTAAGCATCCAGTTTGATCTGCTCTAGTGTGAGATTTTTTTTTTTTTTTTTAATTTTTTGTGATAGGGACTCAGAGGTCCAGACCTTGGAAATGGAATTTCTGCTACATACATCTGTTCAGATAACAATCTCATACTTTACCTACAGAACTAGATATTCTCTGTGTTAGCTTCAATAAATTTTAATGCAATGCATAATATTAAGTGCTGACTGAGCATTTTCTTACTATTTTGGAAGCTTGCAAGGTCCCTTGGTAAAGTGGAGTTTTGGTAATTGTTCAATAACTCCATCTGTTGAATATTTCCATTTACTACCCTCTGCTGCATTTGTATCAGACTGGATTTCCAGGTAATAACTCATTGATAATGTCAAGTATGATTCAGAGCCTATGCCTTTTTTTTTTTAATCTATGTATATACCTGCTCTTGGAGTCTGTGTTGGACGTTGGATATTGGTGCTTCAGGTTGTCTTACTTTCAAACAAACTTGTGAGTAATTAATATTAGAATTATCATTCTGTTGTTTATATATTATTTTCTGGTTCAGTTTAGAATACTTTGTGCTATTTTATGTCCTCTAATATAATTTTTTCTCACTTTTTATTGGTAAGTAAACAAAAATATTAATATAAAAGAGTGAAGAAGTGCAAAACTTCCTTCTACAGTGTAGCCAACCAATTTTTTGCAATAGTCTATCATCTACATTCAGAATAACAGATCACGTAAATAAAAATCTTTACCTTTAAAGAGAAAAAGGTCAAGTGTTAAGGTCCAATCCATAGAGTACTGCCAATTGCCGAACAAAGTCTAAGGAGACTTCGTCTTTCCTGGCAAAAAGATAATTCCTTTCTTTTCACCAATAAATGGACTTGGAACCATAGCCTGCAAGATGGGCCTCTAGATCCAAAATCCACTGTAGGCTACAAGAAGAGAACTTCTCTAAGTGGGAGGAAGACCAGGAGAAACCCTATAGAAAGCAGAATTTCCAAAGCAGGGATGTCAGGGGATGTTGGAGAAACAAGTAATTCATCAGTTCCTCCTTCCTTTTGTACATTAAACACCAATTAAAACGGTAAATATTTAACAATAGCCAAATTATGTTGCAAGGTGCGAACCAGCTGGTTGGTAAGGTCTGCTGCTGGTCGTAGCAGAGACTTGGAATCGAATCCCACCTGCACCTGGGTTGGGGGATGGGCTACCCCCCGTTGTGTAGCCCTTCAGAATATATCAAAAAAATAGCCAAATTGTATCTGGCAGTTATCCCGTTTTCATGCATATTTGATATATATTGGAACTCTATATCTTGAAGAATATTTATAACATGCATATCTATTTTGTTCTTGTGAAAATGTTTCTTGTGTGTGAAAAGCAATCCTATTTGGTACATGTAAAGACTTCTAATTAATTTCTATCCTTCTGGTTAAGCAGAAACTTGATCATACAAGTAAGATTTCTATTAGACTATGTGGGAATGACTTGCGGCCTTCAGAATTTCTTGGTCCTATGAGGTGGTCCTTCATAAAAGTTTACAGAAGGCCATTTTAGGATGTAACATAGGTTGGCTTTCTTGGTGGCCTCACTTGTTTTCCTCGTTTCTGAGGGGGGACCTAATATCTCAAGGATGATGGGAACCATTGGTCTTGTGGATGGCTTGTCTCATGCTATAGGGGGTGTTGAGGAAAGGAAATCCGAGGACACTGGATCTTTATGGGACTTATGTGAGGGTGCTTCCCAAATGGATGAGAAGGACTATGGGATTGATATGTGGTGGTGTTCTTGCTTGCACCATGAATAGGTTACTTGTAGATTATATAGTACTTGGCCAGTTCTGGAATAAAAAGATGGTAAGAGTTGGAAACAGCATCAGATGTGACTCACTGACTACCTAAGTGGATGAATTAAATATAAGGGTAAGGAAGAACTAAGTGTCGGTGAAAGTTGAAACAAAGAACTTTCTGTTTGAAGAACTAAGAGTCAATGGGTAATTGGTCTTGAAGGTCAGGGAAGCAAAGCTATTGATGGTGATGCTGGTTGGCACCAAATTTGGAAGTTTTGTAGAAGAAGTGGTTTCTTCAAGTGGGGAGAAAGATCTGAAAACAATGCTGGTGGAAGGACAATGAAAGTATGTTGTGGAAACAATGAGCAACGGAAAAGGAAGATTCATAACTTTACAAAGTATTGTTTACAAGTATTGAAAATATAAAATATAATATAATATAAATTAAAAAGAACAATACAAAGTTTTGTTTACAATACTAAAATAAAAGTATTGTTTACAAAGTATTTTATATTAAAAATAATTTTAAACTTTGAAACTTTATAAAAATAAAATATTAATAATAGAATAATTATTTTAGTATTTAAAATTTATGAGTTTTCATTTGATATGCATTTTCAAAATTTTAATAGATTTGATATATTTTAAGTTAAGATTATATATTTTTATAAATTATTAAATAATATTTTAATTTAAATTTTATAATAACATGTTAATTGTTTACAAAAATATAAATATTATTTACCTAACTTTTAAGAATTAATTTTTTAATTGAATTTTTTGTTAATTTTAAAAAATAAAAATTGAAAAATAGGAAAAATAATATAATAGTTACAAATGCTTTATGCCTTGCACTTTAATAGATAATAAAATAATATTGGCTTTTTGCGTATATTAATTTATAAAAATCTTTATAATATTTGCCTTGGACTCTTGATTGATGCATTATTTATAAAATTTTACAATACCTACATGTCCTGCTATATTAATTATAATATATTTCCTTATTTGTATATATATTATTTATATATATCATTTAAATATACAATTCCTTTGTATTTATATATTATTGATAGTTGTTTTGGCATTAAACTTAATGCCTTTGATATATTGATGGAATTTGTGTGCATTTTCTTAACGTATCCAAGCGTTTCCATATTTTTTCGTCCATATCCATGCGTTTCCCAAGCGTATTCATATCCATATGCAAGTTGTCCGATACGATACCCGATACCGATACTTTAATCCTTGGAAGTGATACAAATGAAGAAGAAGGAGAAAACGTGAGTAGTGGAAAGAAGAGTATTGATGTGTTGGTCTGGAGGAAGACTTAGATATTGGGACGAAAGCTACCCTTTAAAAGGATTTGGTGGAGGGTAGAGCTGATAGAATGGGACTGAAAGTGGTTCCACTAAAGGAATTGAAATCTTATGCTAAAAAAGGGAAGGTGATAGGAGGAAAGAAGAAGAGAAGACTAAGTGAGGTTGAGGGGCTTCTAAATGATGTTAAAGGGAATGAAGAATTTAGTGCTAGTGGAGGTAGATGAAGAGGTTTGTAAGGAAGAGGGAAGTTTGGGTTGTAATTCAGTGATTGGCGTGAAATTTATGAGTTATAATGTATTGGGATTAGGTAGTGCAACGGAGAGGAGAGCAATAAAGGAAATACTTAGAAAGGAAACATGTGATATTTTGTTGATTCAGGAATCCAAAGTTTATGATATTGACATGAGATGGGTTAGAAGCTTCTCAAATGAGAGAGGCATTAATTGGAGTTTTCTCCTTCTTGGGGAGCTTTAGGGGGAGTGATAACATTGTGGAAGTAGGATACAATACAATGCTTTGAAGAACTAGTAGGGCATTTTACATTGTGAAGTTGAAAGATGCTCATGATGGCTTTGAATGGGCTTTGACTAATATTTAATAGCATTAAACTTGGGAATATGGAAACGCTAAGAAAATGCACACAAATTCCATAAATATATTAATAGCATTAAGTTTAATGTCAAAACAACTATAAATAATATATAAATATATAGGAATTGTATATTTAAATGATATATATATACATACATACATATGAAGAAATATATTATAATTAATATAGCAGGACATGTAGATATTAAACAATTTTATTAATAATACATCAATCAAGAGTCCAAGGCCAATATTATATTGATTTTTACAAATTAATACATGCAAGAAGACAAATTTATTTTATTATCTATTAAAGTGTAAGGCATAAAGCATATGCAACTATTATATTTGAATTATTATATCAATTTTTCTATTTTTGTTTTTTAACATTAACAAAAAGTTCAACTAAAAATTTAATTCTTAAATGTTTGATAAATAGTATTTATATTTTGTAAACAATAAATGTTTTATTATAAAATTTAAATTAAAATATCAATTAATAATTTATAAAAATGTATAATCTTAACGTAAAATATATGAAATCTATTAAAATTTTGAAAATGCATATCATATGAAAATTCAGAAATTTTAATTACTAAAATAATTATTCCACTATTAATATTTTATTTTATAAAATTTCGAATTTAAAAATTATTTTTATATAAAATGTAGATTAGCGGATTGATGGATTCAATTTATATTATATTTTCAAATACTTTGTAAACAATACTTTTATTTTTGTAAATAATAAATACATTGTTATTTAATGCAAATTAAAATGTTAATTAATAATTTTTAAAAATTTGAGATATATACCATATGCAAATTTACAAAATTTAAGTATTAAAATAATTATTTTATTATGAATATTTTATTTGTATAAACTTTTGAAATTAAAATTCATTTTGATATATATATATATATGCATATATATGTGTGGATTTTATAAATTATTTATTCCATTGATTTATAAAATACTAATTTTGAATATTGTTCTTTGTAATTTATAGTTGAAGTTTTTGAAAATAAAAGAATGTTGTGTTTTGTTTGCATGTAAACATTAAGTTTAATAAAAGTTATTTTATTACTTTTGTTAATATGAAATAACAATTGGCTTTGTGGTTAATGTACATGTGCGCTCGAGCATTGGCCAACTTGGGTTTGAGTCACGCTCCTTCTGTTTTTTTTTATTGAGAAACGCTGCGTTATTCGTCGAAACCATGGTCAATATTTTTCTGTATCAATGCGTATTGGCCGCTACTATGTGATACGCGCCAATACGGTGACGTATTGGACTGATACGCATGACTGACAGGATACACCTGCAGTTATAGCATATCCTGTATCGGTGCGGTTCAATATTGATATGGTACGCCTAATATCAGGTGTATCGTGTTGATGTTTTAATCCATGCTTATCGCATTGGTGCCAAAAAAGACTAATGCTATTCACTTGAAAGATTTCAAGCCAATTTGTCTTGTACTATCATTTATAAATGAATTGCAATGGTGTTGTCGTTGAGGATAAAAAAGGTACTCCCTTCAATCATTTCCCAATACTAAGGGGCGTTGATTGGGGATGGACAAATTGTGAAAAAAGGTGAAGGAAAAAGGAAGTGGCAGTTATGCTAGACTTGGAGGAAGCTGATGATCTTGTGGAA